AAGGAAGAGCTGATCCGCTGCCTGCGGCGCGCCGAGGCCGAGAAGGTGAGCGCGATGCTGGACCACAGCAACCTCATCCGCGAGGTGAACCGCCGCCTGCAGCTGCACTTGGGCGAGATCCGCGGGCTCAAGGTGAGCGCGGGGCCCGGGCGGGGAGGCTGGGCGCGGCGGGGCGGAGAGCCGGGCGCCCCGGGGGGGGTGGGGCCAAGCTAACTTTCTTCCCTCCGTCAACAGGTGATCCTCCCCTTTCTTCCAGGCGGCACCCCCGCCCCCAACCCCCCGGTTCCCAGCCCTTTGGAAACTTTTCCAAACTTTGAAGGCGTTCGCTCCGCTCCTCGTCCTCACACCTCTCGCACCAGTGTCCAGCTGGTTCTCTGCGGGTGGAGAGGAGGACGCTGAGGATGCTGAAAGGCAGGGAGGAAAGTGATGGGCACGGGGAACCTTTAATTTCCCGAGGAACCTGGAAAATCGGTGCTTTGAGGAGCGTGGTTACGTTCAGGGGACTAGGGAATGAGGGAGGAGATTTGCCTTTGGAGGTCAAGATTACGGCTGCTCTGGCGCCAGCAGCTCTTTGGCGGTCACCCGGTGAAGAAAGGGCACCACTGCCTGAGAGAGGGGCGAGGGGGGGCGGGGGCGTCCTGGGAGACCCTGTGGGCGTCACCCTCGGAGCCGGCGTGTTTCACCTGCTGCAGAGGGGCTTAAGCTCTGCCTTCACGTCGTTTCGCCAACTTCCATGCTTTCCTTCTCCCCCAGTTTGGATGGCGTCACCTGGAGCTGTCTTACTCTCCTCCCTAATTAACCCTTAGTTTGACTTAAATTTTATCCAGTACAAGAGGGAGGAGAGTCGGGAAAGGGTCTCGGTATGGAAGGCGCAGGGTTTTGAGAGGGTACTCCGAGTGTCCAACAGTGATGCTTTCTTTTTGAGCCAGCTCTCCCTCTGCTAAGTGGAAAAGGGGGGAAAGCCCCCAAGCCCCACTAACTTTAATTTCTCCCTGGAGACCGCTGAGTGTGCGAGTCCGCGGGCTGCAGCAGGCCGGTGGCCGGGAACCGCCCTGTCGGGAGTACCGCAAACTTCCTCTACTTCCAGCTGGTGCTGCTGCCTCCTGGTATTCCTTCCTCTCATTGTTCTGCTTTTGTTTATAGGAAGCCAGACACAAACGAAATCACTGCGGGGACTTAGGGAACAAATTCCCGCAGGCACAAGCTGTCCTTGTCCCTTTCCCACTGTCACCCGGCTTCTCAGGCAGTGGAGCTGTGCCTTAATTGCCTCAGTGCTCCAGCTCTGGGATTTGGGAGCAAGGAGCAGTGGAAGGGCAGAACGCCCAAGGCTCAACCTGCAAGGCTCCTTGTGCTGGTGGAGCTGCCCTCTCCCAAGGCCCAGACTCCCTGTCAATATAGTCCCTAGAGCGGGTGCCGGCAGGAAGATCTCTGTGAGAAAAATCCCAAGGCCGGCTCTCTCCTTTGGTTTAATTTATTACTAATGGAGTATTTATTTAAACTAGCAGGCCCATTGAGGAATAGAGGCAGGTTAGTGTAATGGGAAGATGATCTCAGAGGTGGGTTTGAATGTAGAATCCGAATTTGCCAGGGAGTGTACTTGGGTAATTAATTTCTCATTTTATTCATCAATAAAATGCAAATGATAATAACTATTTCCCGGGGTATTGTGACAACAAGTTAGGATAATGTTGCAGAACGTTTAATACTTGACTACCAAAAATGGTAGATATTGTCATGAGGAGAGGACATAGGAATAAATGAACAGCTGTGTATTCATTTATTTAAATGTGTCTCTAGGATCTGGGTTTCTCAGGCAAAGCTGGACAATGGTATTAGTTTCTCATCCTCCAATTTAAGTGTCTTCCACGATTTGAACCATAATGGGACTAGGAAGAAGTTTGAATTACCTAAGGATTTTTATAGGATGGAGCATTGAAGGGCATCATAGCTCAGAAATACTTGAAGGTTGTTCTATTAGATTGTGTGGATTGACTGTGTGTGAGTAGGGGAGGGGTGGTGTGAGTGGTGGGTGCCTGGTCTTGGTTCCAGTAGCTCCATTTAGAGAAAGCTATTAGGCCAGCTAAGAGCACTTACATCCCAAGTGGGAAAGTCTCCTTCTGGTTGGACTCATGACATTAAAAGACTTTCTAGTCCAACTCCTTACCAAGTTCAGAAATGATGGAGCTGATTACTTTTTGAAGCAACCTCCATTCTTCCTTTCACGTCATCCCTGGGCAGTTGCAAGGTAGTTGAGCCCAAGGCTTCTGGCCCACCCCAAAGGTTTGTGCTTTTACCCTGCTGACAGGCCAGGCTTCTCCCTTCTCTTCATCATTTTGGCTTAGCGCTTTTTTGGACTCCAGAGTAATCCATCAATGTGGTTGACTCAATAATACATCTACTTATTTGGGCTTCACTGGAAGTAAGGTTTTCTTTTTCTTTGTTTTTTTGGAGGGATGGTCTTTGAGAGTTTGGCATTCTCAGTTGACAGCTGCAAGTGCTGGGTAATTAAAGCCACAATGTTTTTGTTTTTTATGCCCTTTTCTGTGAGCTGACTTTGAAATTGTATCTAAATATTTTTAAGGCACTAGGTATTTCTGCAGCTATAAACGTGGGAGCAAACATCAGTTCTCTTCTTCCTAGGGGCCTGTAACTGGGTTCTAGCACTGTCCAACTTGTGTTTAAACATTTAGGAGGCAGGTCAGTGTAAAGGCAGTGAAAAGATAAAGGGTTTGAAGCCTGACGATTGAGGCAGGTGGGCAAATGGTTGCCCTCTCTGAGGCTCAGTTTTCTCACCTGCTTAATGGGATTTTAATCCCACAGGAGGATTAAATGATATGTAGAAGAAACCCTACCTAGGTTATATAACCTTCTCAAGGTCACACAGACATAAAGTATTCAAAAAAGGCCAACTTGCCTTCTCAAGGTCACACAGACCAAAGTATTCAAAAAAGGCTGACTTGCTTTTCCTTAGGCTAGTTGACATTCTTTGTTTAGAATGTGTGGTCCTGAACTGGGTAGAGAAAGGAGAATCTGGCTAAGGTTCTGATATTATGAGGAATTGGATTCCTGAGAACCACATCTTTGGATTTCTAAGTATATATCAACATTCAGGCTGTTCTGATTCAGTATCCCAGTGGAAGCTGATTTGGGAGAACTGAATTTCTAAGACTTGTTGTCTACATTACATTAATTTCCCTCCTTGCTCCCTCACATAACAGCCCCCCACCTTGCAATGAAGAAAAAGAACACATTGAAATAATTTTTCTTTAATTATCTATACAGTACCTGATAGTATGTAGGCACAAGATTGAGATTTTGGGTGATATTCTATGAAGTGAGCTTACACTTTGAAAAGCCACTTTAGACATTTGTAGAACATCTGGCGGCCTGTGGCAATGTTAAAGCGACCGGACCGTTAGTGTTTTGAGAAAGAAAGCTCAAGTCTTAATGAGGTAGACTTGAGGAAGCTGGCTCACAAGGTCATGATCATCAAGATGGTTGCTTAGCTGTTCGTCGTAAGAGGAAGGACTTAGCTCAGAATTGGAATATTAGAAATAATATTGCTAAGAAAAGCCATAATAGGAAGAAAGAGCTATGATAAAGAAAACTGAATGGGCCAGTACTCTTGTCTATGCCACCTGGAATACTGACAGATGTATGTTTCATTTCTTTTGGGAAGTACATTAACTCCATGAAGTCCAAGGTAGCATCGGTCCTATTTACTTTTCAGTTCTAGAGAAATCAGATATAGCTATAGGATAGTTAAAGAGAAGTATTTTCAGATGGATATTCATTAGGATGAAAAAGTAATGACTTGAGCTTTTCATCAAATGCCAGATTAAACTAAATATCGAGTACCTTGCAGCTTAGAAAAATTAATTTTTGTTTAGTATTATTTTCTCCAAATAGCCACAACTTCTGATTTCCTCTAAAGCCTTGGTATCAAAGGGTAATTTATTCTCTTACTATTGTAGATTCCAAAAATAGCAGAGGCTTACTGAAAACAATAATACATACTTTCTCAGCTATATCTGTAGCCTGTTTTGTCCTTAAACACATATTAAGTGTCTGCTGTATGTAAGATACCACGCCAGATGTGTCACATATTCATGGAAATACTTATAGAATGGACTCAGCCTTCTAGAAGCTAAAATAACTACATTAGAAAGGAGAAAACAATTGATGCTCAATGAATTTAATAGCTGGCATGTGACACAGGCCTTAAGCAGTAAGTGGGAAAGTTACTCCATTCATTCATTGATTGGTGCTATTCTATGCTGGGGGAAGCTTCTCAGTAGAATCTCTTCTCTTAGGGAAGTTTATATGGGGGACAAGATGACATTTTCTACTTGGAATGCCCAGACATAATCACAGCTCATGGTTAGCTGACTGAGAGGCTGCTAACGGTACAAAGGTGGGGGAAAGCTTTTCAAGCCTGGCCAGGGGGTTGATTCATTTTCCCTAGTAAAGGGGAGATGATGGGAGTTGGTGAACAGGAAGGGTAAACCATGCAGCACGTGTTTGTGAAGGTCAGTCTGGCAATCTTAGATTGGAGGAGGTGCGGGAAGGTAGAGGGTAGGGCAGACCCTGGCAGGGAGGCTGAGTGGGAGACTACAGGCAAAATTCAGGTCTGAAGTCAGAGCGTGGCCATGGGAGGTAAAGGGGAGACAGGTGTTAGAAACAGTTGTTGGGCACCACCTGTGGCTGAAAGGAGCAGGGCACCAACCCCATATGCCCGAGGTGGTGGGTTCAGGCCCAGCCCTGGCCAAAAACTGCAAGGAAAAAAAAAAAAAGAAAGAAAGAAAGAAACAGTTGCTGGTTATGCCAAGAATTAGAACTGAAGTTGAAAGCTGAGCTGCATAGGCTTCTTCCGTAGGCCCCCAATTCATTCCCATCTCAGGCCTTAGTGCTGTTGGGAAGGGAAGGAAGTGGAGAGTCAGCAGATGTTTTATGGGTGATCTTCTAGTCGTATCAGGGCAGTGTTGGAACCAACCTGAATTTAAGAGAAGGCAGTCTCCTTCCTGAGTTCCTCTAGTTCTGGACTGGATGATGGTGTCACAGGAACAGAGGTTTCAGACTTGGTTAAACAGAGGAGTTGTTAGGTAGCAGCCCCAATAGCTGCCTGTTGCATTCCTTCCACACCACAGTGCTTCAGGAGAGAGTTGGCCCCTTGCCTACATGTGCGAATGGAGAATATGAGTAAGAGGGCACGCCACTATGTAGTTAAAAAATTACTTGGTTTCAGGTGTCTGCAGTGGGGGTCCTGTGTTCTGGACACACAGAAGTGAGTAGAATAGATGATGTCTCTATTCTCATGACTACTGAGGATATAGACTTGAACTAATGGGCACACTCACGTGTATGTTGTTACAAATTGTAGTACATACAGCAGAGGAAAAGTCTGAAGGGTGATGGAGGAGCGTGGAAGTGGGCTTTTTTTGAATTGGGGTGTACTGTTTTTTAGAATGGCTTCTGTGGGGAAGTAGAAAATGAGGACATGAAGATTGTGTAGAAAGCTGGGGGGAAAGCTTTCCAAATGAAAGAGGGGAAGGCCTAGCCCCTTGAGGACTGAAATGAGGCCAGTGTTGGTGTGCTTAGTGCTTGATGGGGAGAGGTGTTCTCACCTTCTCCACTGCTACCATGCAAACAAGCCACCATCGTCTCCTCCTACCTGGACCAGCCCAGTAGAGGGCTGCCGGTAGCCCCTGGATGGTCTTGCAGCTTCTACCTTATCCTGATTCTCTCCCTACTCTCCCCTCCAACTCCAGCTGGTTTTGGAAGACTTGCTCACAGTGCATTAGGCACCATGCTGGCCTCCCTGCAGCTTGAGCTCTTGCTGGTCTCAGAGATTTTATACTTGCCCTCTCTCTGTCTGAATCATCTTCCCTCAAATGTTTGCTCCTCCATTTCACCCAGGTCTCTGCTCAAATGTTTCCTTTTTCTGTAGAGGTGCCTTCTCTTACAAAATAGTGTTTTTTTTAACCTGCTTTCATTTTCTTTCCAGAACTTTTCACTAAATGACATTATATTCCATATTTGCCTTTTACCTGTCTTTTCCACCAGAATAAAAGCTCTCTGATGTCAAGGTCTTTGCTATGTCTATGGATAGAGATCCAGGATCTGGACAGATACCTGGCACATAACTGATGCTTATTAAATATCTGTGAATGAACAAATGAAACACAGTTTCATGCTGGAAGAGTAGACTGAGTCAGAACATTTGGGGCCTGTGAGACTGGAAGGATTTTGCACTTTATCCTAAGGGCAAAGAGAAGCTATTAGAGGGTTTTAAACATGGGACTGATAAGAAGAGCTTGATTTTGGAGGTAGATATCTGAAGACTGTTTGGCTGGGAAGTGAAAGGTTAGGAAGGATAAGATGCCAAGGATAACCTCAGGGGGGTTTTCTACTGAGCAGTGGGACAGGTGGAGATGGCATTTTCAGAGAGGTACAAGTGCAGAGGGGGTTTGACTATCAGGTGCTCAGTGATGCCTGGGAGACAGACATCCAGGTGGCTATGGCAGGTGGGGGGTTGGATGTGCAGGACTGAACTGCCACTGGAGGGCAACTTGCTGTGTCCTGGGTAGGGTGAGGGCGGTACTGCTCATCTCGTGCCAGGGATGAAAGGCCTGTTGCCTCAGAGCTTTTAAGCATGTTACAGGTCATAAGCAGCCATCTTTCTTTCTCAAACTCAAGGGTGGGGTAGGGGAGCCTTGTTTTTTCTACTGATTGATTTCTCATTAATTAACTGACCACTTCTCTAAATACTGAATCAATGACCTTGGACCAGTGAATCCTTGAGAGGTTTAGTTTCCCCTTCTGTGAACCATAATTATTATCCTTTAAGGTTTTGGTGAAAATTAGATAAGATGATGCAAAAAACGCATCGTGCACGGAACATAACTGATACCTATTGTTTACTTTTTATGGATAGCTACGAATCTTCATCCTCCCTTACCCTCACAGAATTCGCCAATTCTGGTTGCTTGCACTCCCAGAAGGCTTGGCCTGATGATGTCTGATGTGTGAATATCCCTTGAATGGCTTTCTCTCTCTTTTCAGGATATCAACCAGAAACTCCAGGAGGACAACCAGGAACTGAGAGACCTCTGCTGTTTCCTGGATGATGACCGGCAGAAAGGCAAAAGGGTGTCCCGGGAGTGGCAGAGACTAGGCCGCTACACGGCCGGGGTGATGCACAAGGAAGTGGCCTTATACCTGCAGAAGCTGAAGGAGCTGGAGGTGAAGCAGGAGGAGGTGGTGAAGGAGAACATGGAGCTCAAGGAGCTCTGCGTGCTGCTGGATGAGGAGAAGGGCGCAGGCTGCGCCGGCAGCCGCTGCTCCATCGACAGCCAGGCCAGCCTGTGCCAGCTTGCTGCCACCACTGCGCCCTACGTGCGGGATGTGGGCGATGGCAGCAGCACGTCCAGCACGGGCAGCACAGACAGTCCCGACCACCACAAGCACCATGCGAGCAGCAGTAGCCCCGAGCACCTGCAGAAGCCCCGAAGCGAGGGCAGCCCGGAGCACGCCAAGCACAGGAGCACCAGCCCCGAGCATCTCCAGAAACCCAGGCCCTCTGGGACTCCAGATCACCCCAAAGCACTCAAAGGATCTAGCCCAGAGCACCACAAACCCTTGTGCAAGGGCAGCCCCGAACAGCAAAGGCACCCGCACCCAGGGAGCAGCCCAGAAACGCTTCCTAAGCACGTGCTGAGTGGGAGCCCTGAACACTTCCAGAAGCACCGGTCAGGGAGCAGCCCTGAACATGCCAGGCACAGTGGAGGGAGCCCGGAGCATCTTCAGAAACATGCTCTCGGCGGGAGCCTGGAGCACCTCCCCAGAGCCAGGGGCACCAGCCCTGAGCACCTCAAACAGCATTACGGGGGAAGCCCTGATCACAAGCACGGAGGAGGCGGTGGAGGCGGGGGAGGCAGCGGGGGAGGCAGCAGAGAGGGCACCCTCAGAAGGCAGGCGCAAGAGGACGCGTCACCCCATCACCGCAACGTCTACAGTGGCATAAACGGTGGGTCAGTGCGCGCTGGGTGCTGGGTTGTGAATGACGAAGCCTTATACGAAACCGCTGGTGCTGGCTGGGGTTGGGAAAAGGAGCGAACATTTGAGCCCAAATGATGATGTGTGTTGATTCGCCTCTATCTGTTTTTATTTTTTTGTAGTTGTCAGCTAAGTAAGCCGGAAAAGGTTGGGAGTGAGAGGTTATGGGAGGGAGATAAATAAGAATTCCTTAGGATCCTAAGTTGTCTGGGTGAAATCTTTGGGCACTGGAGAAAAAACTAAGGAACTATTCTAAGATTCTTTAAGCTTGAACTGGAGCATGTTCCTATTTGTGTGCTGTTTCTTACAAGGACTCACTTGTGGAATGGTGAGCAAGAGGTTTTTGAATCCAGTTAATACCTTAAGAGTGGAAGAAATGAGTATTATGAAAAACAATAATATTAAAAAAATCGCATTCCTAAACAAGCTTGATAGATTTGCCTGAATGCCTATAAATATGCCTTACTTTATCGTGAATTGTTTTTAGAGTAAATTTATTTCAGGTTAACCTGAGGGTACAAACAACCAGGTCAAAATATTTGATCTTGTTAGGTAGAGACCCTCTTGTCCTTATGTCCCCCACACAAACGGTTGTAATTGTTTTGAATTTTTTCCCATCGTGTTGGGGCCCTGAACCTGTGACTTTTCTTTGCATCTAAAAGATGATTCCCTTCTCTACTTAATCAAAACCCATCAACCTTCTCAAAACCCTCTCTTAAGAATATTCTAAACAGTGTGCTCTTTTACCTTATAGGAGTCATCTTTCCTGAGCATTCCTCTTTAAAATGTACAGATGTGTTTGGACGCTCCTTTGTTTCCCAAGCATAACATCCGCTGCATCTGCTGAGGCGGTTCTAAACTTGAGCTTTTAAACCTTTTGGACAGGGCTTAATTCTCTGCATCTTGGTTCTGAAACCACTTTGAACTTAAGAGAGAAAAAAGTCATTTCTTAAAGAAAAAAACCCCAAACCCTCACAATTGTTTTATGTTACCTATGGTTGAGTTGGAGCTAAACTGATTGATTTAATAGACTGAGGATTTTTTTTTTCATTCATATGTCTGAGGTTTTCCATTTTATTTGAAATGTGCTCCGGAGTCTGTGTGCAGCCAGCTCCTAGTAGTGGAGGGGACCAATTTTAGCAGTGACACGAAAGGGTAAATTTTCAATATTGTATTTGGGGATTTACCTGTTGGATTCCATTTCATCTTAATCCTTTTCTCACAGTGATGAAAATTGACTCCTGAAGTTTGGCTTCCAGTGCATCCGATGTTCTTTTAAGCGCAAATGGAAATAGGGCAGGAAAGATGGGAAGCTGCTGCTTTCTCAGTTTGTGGGTGCTGGGAGGAGCCAGCTCACCTGGGTGTCAAAGCCTCCTTATGGGTAGTTTTCCAAAGTTGATTGAATCTTTGCTCTCTCTGTCCACATGCAGGGCAATGGAGATGATGCCCTGATTGCTGTAGGCAGACTTGAATACCCAGTTCTTTACAAAAGATGAAGGGCATTTAAAAACAAAATTTGGCTGTGTTACTATTATGAGACAGGTGATTGGCCTTGAAGCTTTGACTTTGGTGGGGAGTGATGGTACATTGGGAAGATAAGGAAAATGACTTTTCCATTTCTTTATTGCTTTTTAATGAGCTTGAGAAGTAAATATGTTCACTACTATAAGGAAGCTTTGTTTCTTAAACTAAAAAGAAAATACTTAGGGACAAGTGGCTCATTCATTCATGAAACAATTCTTTACAAAAGGGCTCCTTTACATAAAGAACTCCTCTAGTTTAATCAATGTATGATTCAACTTATATGAAAAGTATTTAGGTACCACTTTGAAATCATACCTTGCATAAAGCAAAGTCTATCTCTAGATAAAGATCACCATGACATCATGGCACCTTGGACTCACATAAACTTGGTGACTAAGGAAAATGTTTAAAAAATTTAATCAGTTAAAAGTTTGATGTAACAGATAAATTATTATAGAATGATTCTTAGGTCTACTTTGTTTTCTCATTCTTAAGGGACAGATCTGCTGATGGTTGCTATCTTCAACAGAGTATTTCTGCAGTATATTTGCATTGCATTTTTATTTTAGTAATTAATTGGAAAATGAAGCGGCACAAGAAGTGTTTATGGATCATCAGCCTCTCAACACGGGCATGGGTAGCTTGTATTTATCCTGCCATTACAAATTAATTTTTGATATGGATGGCAAGACATGCTTTTTCATATTTTTAAATCCCCACACAATTTGTTTGATTCATTGGTGTATGAACAGATAGGAGTCGGCTGTGAAGTTAATCCCAAATTGTGGATTTTCTGAGTCATTTCCAGAGTCAAACTGTTGGTGGTTGGTGTGAAATAAGATTTTTTGAATGAGCACTTGAATGTCTTTGCATGAACAGGAAGTAGAGAAAGCACCTGGGACGTGTGTGTGCATAACAGCAGCTGACGTAGAGCTGAAGGATATGTTGCCAGGATATTGTGCTACCTGTCCAGATACCCATGTCCTTCAAAAACACACATGTGTGCACACCAAGGGAACCATCATTGAAGAAGGTTGCTGTTTTAGTTGACAACACCTTGGGCATCTTTAAATCTTATTGTTCTTTCAGTTACAGACTCAGTGGATATGATACTTGAACTTCATATCCAAGAACTTCCTTTGGTTGGCCAGTTGGTTTAACCTCCAGCTGAAATGTAAAGATGAATTTTAGGTATTTTTTGTCTCTTAAAAATTTCTACACCTGTACAACCATTTCTTAAATAGTAGCTGATTAGGAAACAACAAAAACAAACATAAGAAAAATCCTCCAAACTAAACAAATCCCTCATGAATGGATTTAGTTCTTTAAAAATTACTCAACGATTTCTTTTCAGTGAGTAGAAAGCATATTCTACTCTTATCACGTCTAGAAGTTAAGGCATTTGCCCATTTATTCAAGTTGTTTGCTGCACTTCAGATTTGTAGATTAAGTAATTGAGTAGCCACTTCTAGCTATAAAGGTTCACAAACTGAGAGCCTTGGGTATTGAGAATGGGGTTTTACTTACCTGATTCCATTGAAATTCAAGTTTGGGTGGAACTTTTTAGGTGAAAGTACTTTCTTCCCCAGTGAAACTAAGGAGTTTTCAGATATGAGCTGGCAGATCTTTGCTTTCAAACAGATAACCGTTTTAACCCAGGTCATGTATGTCTTGGGTGATTCAAGGTTCTTCCAGCAATAGCTCTGTTCTTTGTTGACCTTCCAGACAATGATGATTCTGATGATCATAAAACCTTACAAGTAGTTCACTCATTGGACATTATAGATCCAGTTGAAAAAGTAGCAAAAATCGGTGATTTATAATAATTCTAGAGGCATGTATTTGGTTACCAGCAAATGAGAAGGAATAAATAGAAGAAACATTACTCTTTATTTTATTGTTTAACATTTAACATCTTCCTAAAAAAAAAAAGATTGCTTGATTATCCTGGTGATATGATTATTCCCTTTGCCCTTTTTTCAGCAAGTTCAAGTGAACAATAGCTCTGTGTTCTTATTCAGCATCATTCTAGCCAGTGAAAGCACACTTGAGGAAATCACTGCTTTCTATTAATCCATTTAGAACTTCTTTGGCCTTGTTAGACGGAGTGTCAGGGTTCTACGTCTTCACCCTGAAAAGCTTCTTATTGATTCTTCTTTTATGAGGGTCTTTCTAGAGATGGAAAGAGCAGGCTGTTTCTCCCAGCAACTCTTTCTCCATTCAGGGTTTCTTAACAGTGGCACTATTGACATCTGGTGGTTGGTGTGAAGTAAGACCAGGTAATTCTTTGTTGTGGGGTGCTGCCTTATGTGTTATAGGGGGTTTAACAGCATCCCTGGGCTCTACCTATGAACAACTCCCTAATTGTGACAATCAAAAATGTCTCCAGAGATATTGCCAAATATTTCCAGGAGGGATCCAGGCAAAATTGCTCCTGATTCAGAATCACTGCTTTAGAACAGTGCTTTTAAATCTAGCTGCAGATTAAAATCACTGTGGTAACTTTGAAAAAGGAGAGCAAGTGGTGCTTGAGCCCAGCACTTCAGAGATGCAGATTGAGTTGGTCTAGTACTGGGGTTGGGCACTTTGCAAAAAGAGGTCTTCAGGAGAGTCAACTAAGCAGACCAGTAGAAACTACTGCCCTCCGTGAGTGTCTCTTACGATGAGAGGGGTGAAAGTGAGTGAAGGTTTTAAAAACTCAGGCTTTTGGGAAAAAGAAAGTTTTTAATGTCTCTTTCTTTGAACTCTACTAGGACTGAGAAGGACTGACCCCAACTGTTACTGTAAAACCTCTCCCCCTCCATCTCAACTCTAGGCAAAGGTTATCAAGTAACACATTGTTTTGGGATATGAGTTGAAATTTTTCATGTTTGGTGGGTGGAATCGTTAGGTTAATTTGGGGGAAAGTTTGACATGTATGTTGGTTCATTACTGCTTTACTTTTTAAAGCCTTCATATACAGACAGAAAAAGAAGCATCTATTTCTGGTGGCTATCAGTGGCATGATATTATTATAACAGATTATAGTATAGATTATACTCTGCCTGCAAAGATAGTATTTCCCACAAGAGAATACTGCATTTCAAATCTCCCACTTTATAGCTTTTACCCTGAGTTTTAAGACTACCCCTCACTCTCTGCTGAGGTTATTATAATTATTACTATTTATTATTTCTTGAGACCTCTGAGTCTCAAGCTGTTGCCCTGGATAGATGGCTATGGCATCATAGCTCACAGCAACCTCCAACTCTGGGGCTGAAGTGATCCTCTTGCCTCAGTTTTTCTATTTTTTAGTAGAGATGGGGAGGGAGGTCTCGCTTTTGTTCAGGCTGGTCTCGAACCCATGAGCTCAGGCAATCCACTCACCTCGGCCTCCCAGAGTGCTAGCATTATAGGTGTGAGCCACCACACCTGGCCCCTTTTGAGGTTATGAATGAGTAAAGGAAA